AGGAATTAGTTTTAGATCCTTGATCAAATATGAGTTGGCTGTAGATGTTTGGGTTGATTTCTGGTGTTTCAATTCTGTTCCATTGGTCTATCCATCTGTTTCTGTACCAGTACCATGCTGTTTTAATTACAACTGCCCTGTAGTATGTCCTGAAATCTGGTATTGTGATGCCTCCGGCTTTGTTTTTGTTGTACAAGATTGCTTTAGCTATTCGAGGTCTCTTGTGCCTCCATATAAATTTCCCCATTCACAAAAGCTACAAAAACAATCAAATACCTTGGAATAAACTTAACCAAAGACGTTAAAGATCTCTACGATGAAAATTACAAAACCTTAAAGAAAGAAATAGAAGAGGATACCAAGAAATGGAAAAATCTTCCATGCTCATGGATTGGAAGAATCAATATCATCAAAATGTCCATTCTCCCAAAAGCAATTTACAGATTCAATGCAATACCAATCAAGATACCGAAGACCTTCTTCTCAGATCTGGAAAAAATGGTGCTGAAATTTATATGGAGGAACATAAAAACTATTAAAAGAGACAGAGAAGGGCACTATATAATGATTAAAGGATCTATCCAACAGGAAGACATTACTATTATAAATGTATACACACCTAATTACAGGGCACCTGGCTACCTGAAAGAATTACTAAAGGATTTAAAGGGAGATATAGATTCAAATACAATAGGAACAGGGGACTTCAACACCCCACTCTCACCAATGGACAGATCAACCAGACAGAAATTCAACAAGGAAATAACAGAGTTAATTGACGCTATAGACCAAATAGACCTAATAGATATCTTCAGAACCTTCCACCCCACAGCCACAGAGTTCACGTATTTCTCCCCAGTACATGGAACATTCTCTAGGATTGACCATATGCTAGGCCATAAAGGGAGCCTCAACAAATTCAAAAAAATTGAAACTATACCATGCAGCTTCTCAGACCATAGTGCAGTGAAACTCGAAATCAACAACCCAAGAATCTTTACACCATATGCAAATATATGGAGAATGGACAACATTATCCTAAATGAACAGTGGGTCATCAAAGAAATTAAAAGAGAAATCAAAAGATTTCTAGAAACAAATGAAAATGATAACACAACCTATCAAAACCTGTGGGACACAGCAAAAGCAGTGCTAAGAGGAAAGTTTATAGCAATTGGTGCCTACATCAAGAAGCTGGAAAGGAACCAAACAAATGAACTCTCCATGTACCTCAAGGATTTAGAAAAACAGCAGCAAATCAAGCCCAAATCCAGAAGGAGGAAGGAAATACTAAAGATCAGAGAAGAAATAAACAGAATTGAAACCAAAAAAAAAAAAAAAAATACAAAAGATCAACAAAACCAGGAGCTGGTTCTTTGAAAAAATAAACAAAATTGACACACCATTGGCCCAACTAACCAAAAAAAGGAGAGAGAAGACCCAAATCTGTAAAATCAAAGATAGTAATGGAAATGTAACAACAGACACAACAGAAATAAAAAGAATCATCAGAAACCACTACAAAGAGATGTATGCTAACAAATTGGGGAACCTGGAAGAAATGGATAGATTCCTGGACACATGCAACCTTCCTAAACTGAGCCGTGAAGATACAGAAAATCTAAACAGACCCATAACCATGGAAGAAATTGAATCAGTAATAAACACACTACCGAAAAAGAAGAGTCCAGGACCGGATGGCATCACCGCCGAATTTTACCAGACATTTAGAGAACAACTAACCCCCGTTCTTCTCAAGTTATTCAAAACAATTGGAAGGGAGGGAATCCTCCCAAATTCTTTCTACAAAGCCAATATCACCTTAATTCCTAAGCCAGGAAAAGACACAACAGAGAAAGAAAACTACAGACCTATCTCCCTGATGAACATAGATGCAAAAATACTCAACAAAATTCTGGCAAACCGAATCCAACTGCACATTAGAAAGATCACTCACCCAGACCAAGTGGGATTTATCCCTGGTATGTAGGGATGGTTCAATATTTGAAAGTCAATCAATGTAATACATCACATTAATAAATTGAGAAGCAAAAATCATATGATTATCTCAATAGATGCAGAGAAAGTATTTGACAAAATACAACACCCTTTCATGATGAAAACCCTAAGTAAATTGGGGTTAGAAGGAACATTCCTCAACACAATTAAAGCAGTCTATGATAAACCAATGGCCAGCATCATATTGAATGGGGAAAAGCTGGAGGCATTTCCATTGAAAACTGGCACCAGACAGGGATGCCCACTCTCACCACTGCTATTCAATACAGCCCTAGAAGTGTTAGCCAGGGCCATCAGGCAAGAAAAAGATATTAAAAGGATACAAATGGGAAAGGAGGAAGTTAAACTATCCCTATTTGCAGATGACATGATACTATATATAGGGGACCCAATAAACTACTATAAGAGACTATCGGAACTCATAGAAGAGTTTGGTAAAGTAGCAGGATACAAAGTCAACGCTCAGAAATCAACAGCCTTTGTATACACAGATAATGCCAGGGCCGAGGAAGAACTACTAAGATCAATTCCATTCACAATAGCCACAAAAACAATAAAGTACTTTGGGATAAATTTAACCAAGGAGGTCAAAGACCTCTATGATGAAAATTACAAAACACTAAAGAAAGAAATAGAAGATGACACACACACAAAAAAAAATGGAAAAACCTGCCATGCTCATGGATTGGAAGAATCAATATTATCAAAATGCCCATTCTCCCAAAAGCAATTTACATGTTCAATGCAATACCAATCAAAATACCAAAGTCATTCTTCAAATACCTAGAAAAAACTATGCTGAAATTCATATGGAGAAACAGGAGACCGAGAATAGCTAAAGCAATCCTTTACAATAAAAACAAGGCCGGAGGCATCACAATTCCAGACTTCAAGACATAATACAGGGCAGTTATAATCAAAACAGCCTGGTACTGGTACAAAAACAGATGGATAGACCAATGGAACAGAATAGAAACACCGGAGATCAATCCAAACACCTATAACCAACTCATATTCGACAAAGGACCTAAAACCAACCCATGGAACAAGGACAGCCTCTTCAACAAATGGTGCTGGGAAAACTGGATGTCCACATGTCGAAGTATGAAGCAAGACCCCTACCTTACACCTTATACAAAAATCCACTCAACATGGATCAAAGAACTAGAGATGTGCCACGACACCATGAAACTAATTGAGAGCATAGGGGAAACCCTTCAAGATATTGGAACAGGTGAAGAATTCCTGGAGAAGATCCCAGAGGCACAAGTAATCAAAGATAAAATAAACAAATGGGATTACCTCAAATTGAAGAGTTTCTTTACAGCAAAGGAAACAGTCAGGAAAGTGAAGAGGCAACCAACAGAATGGGAGACGTTATTCGCAAACTACACAACAGATAAAGGATTAACAACTAGAATCTATAAAATGATCAAAAAACACCACAAAATCAAAATAAACAACCCAATAAAAAATGGGCCAAGGACCTTAACAGACATTTTTCAAAAGAGGAAATCCAAATGGCCAACAGACACATGAAAAAATGCTCAGGATCCCTAGCCATCAGGGAAATGCAGATCAAAACCACAATGAGGTTTCACCTCACTCCGGTTAGATTGGCTTACATACAGAAATCAACCAACAAATCAACCAGATGCTGGTGAGGATGTGGGGAAAAAGGAACACTAATCCACTGTTGGTGGGAATGCAAACTGGTAAAGCCACTATGGAAGACAGTATGGAGAGTCCTCAGAAACCTGAATATAGCACTACCACAGGACCCAGCCATCCCACTCCTTGGAATTTACCCAAATGGAATTAAAGGGGAGAAAAAAAGAGCCATTTGCACCTCAATATTTGTTGCAGCTCAATTCACAATAGCTAAGACATGGAATCAACCTAAATGTCCATCAACGGATGACTGGATAAAGAAACTATGGATATGTACTCTATGGAACACTATACAGCAGTAAAAAACAATGAAATCCGGGCATTTACAACAAAATGGAGGAAGCTGGAAAACATCATACTGAGTGAAATAAGCCAGTCCAAAAGGGACAAATATCATATGTTCTCCCTGATCGATGGCAACTAAACGAGCATCTAAACTGATACCATTGAAGTGAAATGGACACTATGAGAGACAATGACATGATCAGCCCTTGTCTAGACTGTTGAGGAACAACTTACTATTTTATTCCTTTTAGTATTTTTGTTGTTGTTGTTGCTCTGTTTGTTCTACATAAGATCACTGGTTGAACTCTGTAATCAATGCACAATCATTCTTAGGCGTTTAAAATTAACAGAAAAGTGATCTCTGTTAAACATAGGAGTGGGAATAAGAGAGGGAGGAGATATATAGGTTGGCACATGCTCACTCGGACTTACCTCCAATGGTGGAACCAGAAATGTGCCAGGGGATTTAAACTCAATCTTACCAAGGAGGCAGGTACCAATGCCAGCGCACTTGGTAAATTGATAAGTAGAAATACACAACCGATCAAAAAGGGTATGTGTCGATGAGATTTCACAAATAAGACCAGTGTAAGCAAATAATGAAGGATAGAATTAAAAGGGAGAGAATGATCCTGCGGGGGAAACAGGACACACATCAGACTCATAGAATGGCAGCACTCCTGCCTCAGAATCAACCCTTGGGACATTCGGATCTGGCTAAAAGGTCCATGAGAGTCTCACAGGCATGGAAAGCCATGACATGGTGGCAAAAAACAATCTAAATGAAAGATCCTGGTGAACAAGACCCCAGCAGAAGGAACAGGCCATCAAGGAGAGAGGCGCCTTTCTCTGAAGGGAGGAAGGAACCTCCACTGTGATACGGCCTTGACTAAACAAGTTCAGAGTCGGTGAACTCAAGGGGCTTCCATAGCCTAGACAGCTCATAGCAAGAGTCTCTGGTGATTGCTGACGTCATAAATAAGAGTGCCAATTGTTAAGTCAACAACGGGAGTCACTGGGTACATGCTCCCCACGTTAGGATCTCTGTCCTTAATGTGTTCTACTATGAAACTTAAAAACAACACTACTAGTCGAACAATACCCTATACCTTGTGCGGTTGTGTGAGTGCAGCCTGTTGAAATCCTTGCTTAGTGTATACTAAGTTGATCTTCAGTATATGAAGGTAATTGAAAATGAAACATGATGAAGGGTGGGATGGGAGAGGGAGTGGGAGAGGGGAGGGCCACGGGAGGGAGGGAGGTTGGGGGGGAGCCACAACAATACAAAAGTTACACTTTGTAAATTCACATTTATTAAATAAAAAAATAACTATATAGCAAACAAAAAAAAAGAAAAAAACTTAATACTTTACCCTTTTAGTATTTTTTTATGTTCTACTTAAAACTATTGGTTGAACTCTGTAATTAATACACAATTACTCTTAGGTGTTTAATTAATGCTATAACTAGTACTCAAATAGTATTTTATACTTTGTGTTTCTGTGTGGGTGCAAACTGTTGAAATCCTTACTTAATATATGCTAAATTGATCTTCTATATATAAAGATAATTGAAAATTAATCTTGATGTGAATGGAAGGGGAGAGGGAGTGGGAGAGGGGAGTGTTGTGGGTGGGAGGGAAGTTATGGGGGGGAAGCTATTGTAATCCATAAGCTGTACTTTGGAAATTTATGTTCATTAAATAAAATAAAATATAAAAAAATAATAAAAAGAAGAATATGTATGGACAAAGTAAAATGAAAATAAAAGTTTAAGGAGATAAAGCAACAATATAAAATTTTCAGTTGTTAAAGAAAAACTTGTACTATTTTTTTAAATGAATTATGGGCAGCATCAAATCATTAGGACATATACTTTTTGCTGAGTACATTTAAAAGAGTAATGTAAGAGTCTTCTTTATGAAGCATCAGACATATTCTTTGCAACTAAGTTTAAAATAAATGATTAATACAACATAAAAATCTCTGGTAGCACAACGATTTTGTGAATTTCTGTTGGGGGTAGGTAAGTTAAGATGTTTGAAATTGTTTGGGGGGGAAGGATTAGACATTCTAGAGCCTAAAAGGGCGCTGGATATCTGAGGATGGAGAGACAGGTAGTGATGGGAGAGGAGGGATCTAATAAGGAGATATTTATTTTCCCTACAGCCTCAACACTAGCCAAGTGTGTCTCCCAGAGGGATTGCTGGTGAATGTAAAGTCATGGAAACATAGTGTTTCATTTCTTATTACAATGATTCTTAAAAGGATTTCAAAAATGAAATTCCTTGAGAAAAAATTTAGTAACAAAAGCTTCAACTGCTTGAGATGTATACTATAAAAAGTACTATAAGAAATATAATATAAGAAGTATACTATAAGAAGTACTTCAAAAAGTCTGTGGAAAATGATATTAAAAGGTAAGTTTATTCAAAAAGTTTTTGAAACCCATGCATACCAGGAACTTTCAAAAAGTTCATTAAAATGCAGAAAACTATGCTTGGATTGCAAATTTTTTGAACCAAAGTAAGATTATATTTCAATTCCTTTTTTCTTTTTCTTTTTTTTAAATTTTTTTTTAACTTTTATTTAATGAATATAAATTTCCAAAGTACGGCTTATGGATTACAATGGCTTCCCCCTGATAACGTCCCTCCCACCCGCAACCCTCCCCTTTCCCATTCCCTCTCCCCTTCCATTCACATGAGGATTCATTTTCAATTCTCTTTATATACAGAAGATCAGTTTAGCATACATTAAGTAAAGATTTCAACAGTTTGCTCCCACACAGAAACATAAAGTGAAAAATAATAGATGATTTTTTAAATGATGATGAAATCAGATCAGACCTATTGTCATGTTTAATCCCAGCGAGAGTCAAGTTGGGAACAGAAGATCAGTTTAGTTTTTTTGCAATACCTCATAAACTATAATATACTGAGAAAAGCTGGTGCACCATCGTTTTTGTTTTAATTTTCTAGGTTTTATAATCTTGAATATAACATGCTGAAATAACCTGACATCACTCATATATTCACTGATTTGATAGAGCAAGAGAGAGTGCTCCCATCCACTGGTTTCCCTCCTAAATGCCTGTGACAGAAAAGATTGAAGCTGCAAGCTGGGAACTCAATTCAGGTCCACCACGTGGTGGTGGAGACCAACTAGCAGAGCCATCCCCACTGCTTCCTAGGATCTGCATTAGCAGGAAGCTGGAACTGGGAGCCAGAACTGGAGACCCAAACCCAGCCATTCCAATATGGGATGTGGGGATTCCAAGCTGCAGCTTAATTTAACCATTAGGTCAAATGCTTACCTTTGATATCATTCATTTATTTAAACAACATATTGAGAATATCAATTTTGTGCCACGGGCTATATTGGTGTGAGAGATTTAGGCTGAGAACATAAGAATTATCTTAAGTCAATTTCTGTGTTAGATGAATTGGTGGAAAGGTGGCTAGAAATGAACTGGAAAGAATAGGCAGAATTTGGTTCTAGTATAAGATCTTTGTGCTTCCTTCTAAGGTGTTTAGACATTTATCTGGAAAACACTGGGGAAGCACAGAAAATGTAAATGAATATGGTAAATTCATTTAAGATCTAGATTTACAGGCTTAGGTAGCAGACACAGAAATACGAGTAAGTCTGGGGCCAGCACTTTGGCATAATACATTAAAACTCCATCTGCAGTACCAGTATGCCATATGGGCACTGGTTCAAATCCTGGCAGTTCTACTTCTGATCCAGCTCCCTGCTGATGCACCTGGAAAAGCTGTGGAAGATGGCCCACGTGCTTGGGCCCTTCTATCTACATGGGAAACTTGGAGGAAGTTCCTGACTACTGGCTTCAGATCAGCCTAGCTCCAGCCACTGTGGTCATTTGGGGAGTGAACCAGTGGATGAAAACCTCTCTGTCTCTGTCTCTCTCTCTCTCTCCCTCTCTGTCTCTCTCTGTCTGTAATTGTGTCTCTCAAATAAATAAATATTTTTTTTAAAAAGAAATATAGGTAAATGACTTAGAGGAAGTCAAAATTCTGAAGCTATAGAGATTAGTAAAGGAAAATATTCAGGATGAAAAGAAGGCCACAGAGAGGAAAGTTAATAATATCAGAATTTATACAGAAAAAGACGGGTTCATAAGAGAGATGAGGGAAAATGCTTAGAGCAGTAGTAGAAAAATTAAGAAATAAATTATGCCCTAACACCAACACCAAGCAATGTAATTTGAAGAAGGCAGCAGCAGCAGAATCGAACATGGGACACCACATACAGATCATGCATTCAGAATTCCAGTCCTGCCTAAAAGCCAGGAGGGTGGGAGTCATACAGAGGTTGGGCCATGGTTTTAATGAAGTGGAACTGGTCAACTGTATTAAGTGAAATAGAGAATTGAAGTAGGAAGAGAATGGCAACCTGTCCATTGGTGTGCAAAGTAGGCCAAAGATGGCTTTAGCATGGACAAAGCAGTGGAGTGGTGGCAGAAAGCAGATGATGGAATGCTTTTTAAATCTTAGTAAGATGAAGAGGTTGAGTGGGAAGAGAACCTTCCAATCCAAGCCTAGATTCAGTATACAGGTGGAGCATATATTGGGCAGGGGTGTGCTCCTTCCAAAATCCTGTCAATGCTGGAGCAAGATGACCTCAAGACAACCACAACTGTTCCTTGTCATGTGGCCATGTGCTGGCCTGGAGGTTTGCTTGTTTCCAGGTGAGCAGGAGTGTGTGTCTCTGACTTCGGGAAGAGTTCAATCCCTTTAAGAACTCACTTGCTGAGGTCTAGCCCAGCTGGACTACCTCCCTTCAGATCAATTCAGAGAAGACAGACTGGAAATGTCATCACAGTAGGATGCCTCTATTGTGCACCCCATGGGGCAGGAAACTTGGGGGCCATCTCAGAATTCTTCCTACCACAGCAGCTTTCCCACAGGGAAGGGTAGAGATGACAGCTTAAGGCTGGCTCACTGCTTCCTCTCCCTACAATCTCCAGGGCCTTCCTGTCTCCAGGGGATATACATACATACATACATATGTGTGTGTGTGTGTGTGTGTGTGTGCGCATGCACGTGTGTGTGTATATATATATATATGGGATATATGTGTGTGTGTATATATATACACACACAAAGGGAACAGATTTCATGTATTTCTCATATACAATTTCTTTTTTAAAAAAAGATTTATTTATTTATTTGAAAGGCAGAGTTACAGAGACAGAGAGAGGAGAGAGAGAAAGTCTTCCATTTGTTGGTTTACTCCCCAACTGGCCCAAGGGCCAGAGCTAGGCTGATGCAAATTCAGGAGCCAGAAGCTTCTTCCAGGTCTCCCACCTAGGTGAAGGGGCCCAAGGACTTGGGCCATCTTCTACTGCTTTCCTAGGCCATAGTAGAGAGCTGGATTGGAAGTGGAGCAGTTGGGACTCAAACCGGTGCCCATATAGGATGCTGGCACTGCAGGAGGCGGCTTACCTGCTATGCCACAGTGCCTGCCCCCTCATATAGAGTTTCAAGAACATAATGATACTTCCCACTCTCCCTCCTCCTTACAATGACATACTTTCAATTTACTTTACTTTTCTCCTCACCATCTGACCATCCTCTTGAGAACCCACAGCGAGACATTAAAGGAATTAAAATGCTGAATGAGACCTGTCTCTTGGGGGATTTCTCTTTTTTGGCTCTTCTTTAAAACACGTTGTATGTGTGAACATAACACATGCAAATTATTACAAAACCCCACCAGTTTGAAACAGTAAACAAGGAGCAACATTGCCTCCACTCTCACCTTCTGTCCCCTCAGAGCCGCCATGTTTTTCTCAGAAATATCAATATCATCGGTCCCATTTCTTGGGTCTCCTTGTGGCTAGTTCATGTATTTATAGACATGCTTTCCCACCAACGGTAGCACTTTTTCCTCCCACACTTGTTTTCCTCTTAGTAATGCATCCTGCCAATCTTTCCACATGCGTCTTGATTGTCTATTTAATTGTAGTCACTTAACTTCAGAAGTCTGCATTAAGTTTTCTCGGTTCCCATCTGAACTCTGTAGGCTTCATTCTTTCTGCCACTTAGGGAACCAATAGGAAAAGAGCTAGCTCAGGTGACTCTAAACGTTTTCCAGTTTGTCACAGAGCATCGGCTGTAAGCTAGGGTTACGTGGAGTCTGGGGGTCTGAGCCAGATAGGGCAAGGTTGATGAGTATGTACCTGATACGGTTAGAACATCTTGGACACAGCAATTCTTATTTTTCAATGTGCTGTGATTGTGTTACCACAATTAGCTTCCTGTTTTTGATCTTTCTTTGTTTGAAAGGCAAAGGCAGAGAGAAAACAAAGAGAGACCTCCCATTTGCTGGTTCACTCCCTAAGGCCCACAAAAGCCAGGGCTGGGCCAGGTTGAAGTCAAGAGGACAGAACTCAACCCAGATCTCCCACGTCGGTGGCAGTGACTAAGTAGTTGAGCCATCATCTGCTGCCTCCCAGACACAATTAGCGGGCAGCCAAATCAGAAGCAGAGGAGCCACTCCAATAGGGGATGCTGGTGTCTCAGATGATGACATAGCCTCTGTGCCAAACACCAGCCCCCTACTTTTTTATTCTAATTCAAACAACAATCTCTCTCTCTCTCTCTCTCTCTCTCTGTAGCTCTTTCAAATAAATAAATAAATATTTTAAAAAAGGATTCTGATTATCCAAATAAATATTGCCACCAGGTCTGCGGGCGAGTCAGGTGCAGACGCAGTGCTGTGGATGGAGCAGGTGCAGGGACCCTGCGTCTCCATTAGCCTCATGCTAAGCCTGGAAAGTAAATCTGCTCTGGGAAGGAGCAGATAATGGGCTAAAGAAAGGAGCTAAAAAATGTTCCTAACATTCTTTTCAGGGAAAAAAAATTTTTTATAAAGATTTATTTATTTATTTGAAAGTCAGAGCTACACAGAGAGAGAGAGGGGTCTTCCATCCACTGGTTCACTCCCCAGATGTCCACAACGGCCAGAGCTGAGCCAAACCGAAGCCAGGAGCCAGGAGCTTCTTCTGGGTCTCCCACGTGGGTGCAGGGGCCCAAAGACTTGGGCCATCTTCTAGTGCTTTCCCAGGCCATAGCAGAGAGCTGGATTGGAAGTGGAGCAGCCGGGTCTCGAACCGGCGCCCATATGGGATGCCGGCGCTTCAGGCCAGGGCTTTAACCTGTTGTGCCACAGCACTGGCCCCGGAAAAATATTTTTGTAGTTTCAAACTATGAAGTAACTTAATTACAACCATGATGCAATCCATATCATGCGGTTGAGAGTGTGATCACTGGGGAAACACTGATGGAACACTATCCAGTGAACAGCAGCGCTGTGACAAATTTTTTTTAACCTCAATATAATTTGGAGATTTCAAATCGCTTCAAGCTAGAATTAAATATGTTGGATTGTGTACCTTTTACGTTATTTTTCAAATTAAGTTTACTGATAATTCAGTAAACTCTTCCTTTTTGTATCAGTCAGTCCCTTGCCTGTTTTATTCTGTTTTGAACTGGTAAAAGGTCCCAGCTCAAGTTTTGCGGAATCTAATTCCCTGAAGGCTTCTTTTCACTCTTTTCCCAAAAGTACTTAGCTTACTTTGTGTAACCCTGACTTCACCCAGCACATTTAATATCTATGAGGTGAAGATAAACAAGTTGAAAAGCTACCTGAAGTCCGTGAAATTCACAGGAAAGGAGGTTTACCATACCCTGTCTCATGTAGAAGATACTGGCAATTCTGCGCAGCTCTAAGTACAAGATAAAGTGTCACACTTCTAGGCCACTTCAGGACCAACTGATGGGTTTGTCCAAACGACACAACCACATCTAAACAAAACAAAAGCAAACCTGCAAATCAGAGAGCTTCCAGAGTGGCTGCCAGCAGGCACATGCTTATCTGCATTTTTGTCATGGCAGCTCCTTATCTTTCTTCAGGCCTGTTCTTTTGGCCAAAGGGCCCCCACACCTAATATGTTGTTTCTTTTAAGAAAAATCATAGCCTGATATGAGGATGTTTATAAAACCCCTTACAGAAATGTCTAGAAGGCTTTTATTGCGTAATTAATGTTTTTTGTTCCTTTAACAGAAAACTGCCTGCAAATATAGGCGTGCCAGTTCAAGTCCCAGCTGCTCCACCTCCCCTTCCAGCTCCCTGATAAGGGTCTGGGAAAAGCATAACATTGCCCCATCACCTGAGTCCCTGCCAAGCAAAGAAGGATGAAGCTCCTGACTTCAGTGTGCTGTGGCCACTTGGGGAGTGAACCGGTGGACGGAAGGTAGAGCTCTCTCTCTCTCTTTCTAATAAATAAATCTTTTTTTTTAAAAGAATTCTAGTTTTCCAAGAATGATATTCATGGTTCTCTCTAAAAGCTCTCCCTACTCTATTTGTTTAAACTTTGACATGGAATAAAATTTAAACAAGTCAAGTCTGTAGTAAACCCATGAAAGAATCTCTTCACTTAAAAGTAACAGAACCAAAAACAGCAATAAAGCACAGATTACAAATTGCTTTGCCTAATTTAGGGATGAGTGACTTAACATTGCTTCTTTTGTACGCGTTCCATTGGAGATATTCAGAAAAAGCGGAAGTTGAAATTACAGAAGGAAGCAGGCATAGTTATTTTTGGTTCTGGCCCTATTCAAGCTTTTAAATGTTCAGGGCCTTCTGACAGTTGTCACAAAGGCTGGAAAGTCAAGAATGCTGTGGGTGTCCCTGCCGCAGCTACCAGAAAGTGAGCTCAAGCTACAGCCACGGGTGTCCTCCTTTCCATTTTAAGATGCAGGTTTTTTTTTTTTTTAAAAACTTTTTAAAAATTATTATTTAAAAACACAAACACAGACTTTTCACTTCAGTATGTGGTATGTTGCATTTTCCAGTTTGTTCAATGCTTTAAAGCTAAAGGGTGCCTCTGCTTTCAGTTGTACATGGGCCTGAAGCATGCTAGCTTTTGGCAAGCAGGCAGGAGACTCAACAAAAATCAAAAGAACAAGGCAGACTAAATGCAGGGCACAAGAATGTCAGAAGGAGACAATTGTTACTGAGATTAGATTTTAATATAGAACTACAAGCTTTCAGTCCCCTAGGGTCATTTAGGAAATCAAGTAAGCCAGCACTTTTAAGGGAAACAGAGAAAGAGCAATCTCCAGCTTGGTCGTGACTTTTTAGCAATTTTTTACTACGCTTATTAACAACATCTATGTATATGGTCCTTTGCAATTTGTAAAGCATTTTTCCATCTGATTTGCCTTAATTTTGATGATTGTGGGGCGCTGGTTCTAGTCCCAGCTGCTCCTCTTCCAATCCAGCTCTCTCCTATGGCCTGGAAAGGCAGTGGAAAGTGCTTGGGCCCCTGCACCCGCGTAGGAAACCGGGAGGAGGCTCCTGGCTCCTGGCTTCAGATCGGTGCAGCTCCCGGCCACCTGGGGAATGAACCAACGGAAGGAAGACCTTTTTCTCTTTCTCTTCCTCTCACTGTAACGCTCTCTCTAAAATAAATAAATAAAATCTTTAAAAAAATATTTTTGATGATTGAAGATCAGATAGTCCAGTTCTGCTAATATTATTTTATTGTGAGAGTTTACTGGCATAACCAAAAATTGCAGGTCTTATCTTCCACGTCCTTTGACGTTGGTCACTTGGAAGAAGGCCCCCTGGCTGTCCCTACTGCTGAGAAAAAATAATAAACGTTGATGATTAACGATAAAACTGTAGCCTGTGCAAGAATCTGCCTACCTTGTGCTTCCTCATGCTTTTTGCTGTTGATATGTTCAGAGCATACAGAACTGGCACAGAAACGTCTGTATCAGCATGGAAACCTGCAAGTTAGTAAAAATGCTCGCCGGGGCAATATTTAGTTCCCGGGAAAGTTTAAGTGTTTCCGGTCCCTCCTCGCCAAACATCCAGCTCGCAAGTCACAGGCCCTCCAGAGGCCACTTTTGGGGGAGGTGCGGCCCGGGTCGGCGACCTGCGCAACAAACCCGGCCAACAGAAGTCAGAAAGGCAGAAGCCCGGGACAGGGCTTCCGGCGGGAAAGGGCGTCGGCGGCTGGCAGGCCGCGCGCCCGGGGGCGGGCCCTCGGGGGCGGGCGGAGCCTGCGAGCCTCGCGCCTCAGCAGTGGCCCGCGCAGACGCTCCCGGGCCGGAGGCGGCGCTCGGAGCGGAGGCAGCGCGCGCGAGCTGGACGGCTGCCCGCGGTTGCCTACACCCCCAACCGCATTGTCTGCCCCGCACTGCTCCGCGTCTCCCACCTGTGGTTGGTACCGGAGCAGCCTCCGGGCCCGCGAGCGCTTCCGCCGAGTCGAGTGCGGACGCGGCGCTGCGGACGGTGCATCTCCACTAGCCTCGTGCAGAGCCTGGAAAGCGAATCTGCTCCGGGAAGGTCGCTGACTTGGAGCCCCAAGGTACCTGCCGGGTGACGGTCTGGGGCTGAGGCAGGGGGCTGTCGTGTGTTCCTCTCCCGAAGACGGCAGCGTCCGATACTGAGGAAAGGCTGGAGAAAGTCGTTAGCGGTAGCGTGATCCCAGCTCTAGGAAACAGGTGACTGTTGGTGGAGGAGGGGGCCACAGAGAAATACTGGAGACGGTGGGTGGGGTGGCGGGGCCGGTGTCTCCCTTGTACTTTCCTGTTGTGGACCAACGTTTTCCTAAGCTGGGAACTACAGAAAGGATGCGGCGCGGGGAGCGGCGTGCGCGCCAGAAGTTCCTCCGCGGAGGACTGGTCCCGGCCTTGCCTGCCCGCTTCCGTCCGTCTCTGTAGGAAAATACAGTAATCCATTGTTTCTGGGGACTTTCCCCGCCTTTCAAAGTTGCGAAGAGAAACTTCCCAGGTTTTCTGGAAACCAGCATCCACCCCGCTCCAACCCCGCGGAGAAGCGGAGCGAGGCACCCCGCTGGGCTCCCCTCCCGCGGCGTTGCGCCTTCATCACTCTTTTTCGCCAGCTCTGTGCTCGGTGAGCGGCGCCCCTGCCCCGCAGCGCTGCCCGGCTAGCCGGGGAGTCCTCAGAGTCTGCGGAGCCGCAGGGCGCCGTGAGCACGGCCCGGGGACGGCACTGTCTCTCGCTGCGCGCCGCGTTTCTCTTCCCCTCCGACTGGCTCCGGCGTTTGTCCGGGGAGAAAAGCCTTTCCTATCTGCGGTCACCCCCGATAGCAGGGGGACCTCGGGGAGGGGCGGGCCGGAGGTGAAGTTGCAGCTTTAGAGGAGTAACATACCCTACTAACGCGTCGCCCAGAGCCGACGCCGAGGTTACAGGCGCCTTTGGGAAATCTAGTAGTCGTAAACTGTCACGTTCCTTTTAAGAGACTCTGGCTCTTAAAGCGTGAGAAGCGTGGTTGGCGTGCCTGATTGCCCAGGGACCCCAAACTTTCTAGTAACGTGCTCACACACCTGGCTGCTGTCAGCAAAACTCTCCCTACACGGCTTTCTGTTCACGACATTTGAAGACCAAACCCCGTCTGCAAGCCGGGGTGTCTCTGCTCTGGCTTTGCAGGGTGGTGGGAGGGTGGCCGGCCTCCTGGGGTAAGGGGCTCTGGAGCCGGGGGCAGGGGTTGGAGGTGGAGGCGGGGTTTTTGCACCTGACACCGGCTCTTCTTTCCTGCCTGCCTTCCCTCCGGATCTTACCCTTCCCTTTGCAGCTTGGAGATTCCCGGGGGAGTGCCTGCGGTGTTCCTGCCAACCAGCAGGAAGCCTTAACTCTCTTCTGACACCCAAACGCTGTGTCTATGTTTTCTTTTTCACACGTTCAGTGATAAGGTTCCTTATAGTAGAGCTTGGCTTGGTATCTGTAGTGCCTTTAATTGGCAGACATCATGAGTGTTTTACAACTGTTTGATGTCAGCTATCAGAATTCACCGCTTTAATGATACCTGGTGGATTTTCAGCTCCATTTCGATCCATAAAAGTCAGAGGGCTTGCGGTTTTTGTAGAGGACAGATTTGCTCAGTGTTGCAGTGGGTACTTAGTGCAGGTGGTGTGGTTCAAGTCATCCTCCTGCCTGCTCCTGGCCCCAGGTTCCCTCCCCGGAGGTGACCGCTGTTACCCCGCTCCCAGCATTGCACTTCTGTTTCTTTGATCACTTAGGACTGGCATTTCAAAAAGCTGTTTTGAGAACTTTAACACCAATGATTTATCTTAAATCCACGAACTTATTATTTTACTTGTTCATTGGTTTCTGGCTTTTCTGTTGATGACTATGAAATGCAAGGGACTCAGGTCATTCAGTAGAGAGACGTTTTGGCTCAGGGGGTTAACAGATTGGCTACATTAGAGTGTGGTGACAAATGACCTCAAAAATAGCAATGACTGGCGGGGAAAAAATGTTGATTTCCTTGCTTGTATTGTGTGTCTTCTGTCTACCTGTGGCCCTTCCCTCTGGGACCGAGGCTGCACTATCTGGGGAACTGCTGATGTGGCAAGGATAAGAGGGAAGTGGCTACTTGGAAGAGAGAACTGTAGAGTGACTACTTAAAGCAGCGGCTTGGAGCTTCCACTCAGTCCTGTGTCTGTCCGTGTCACCATTCGTGTTGACATAGTTTTCAGTGGAGTGGACTGACAATGGAAAGCCGCATAACTGGTAAGGATAGGTTGGTTGAGTGATATGGTCTATCTCAGTGTCTGCCGCAAGGGGTCACTGTTGTGAACCTTGAGGTTCATCCAGCCCTGAAAGTTGGCTTACGCCAAGATGCTTAGACCCAGACTTATAACCCAGAAGGCCAGTTTTTCCTGTTATGGTGGATAATATATCTTCCCTGGTGCTAGTCATAAGAGCCCTATGTTGCATACTTTTCTTGGTGGTGGATTTGCTCAAGAGACTGGATTATAAGCTAATGGGTTATGTATAGCATATTAAAACAAAATTTAGGTGTTACCAAAAAAGGCTACTTTACATCTGGAATGTCATGGCTTTAAAATGTTTACTTACTCATAGTCAGTGATTTGAAATCAGAGCAACAGTGCAACAGAGAAGAGTGATCTTCCATTTGCTGATTCACTCCCAAGTACCCACAACAGCCAGGGCTGGGTGAGGCTGAAGCCAGGACACTGACATTATATCCAGGTCTGCCATGTGGGTGGCAGGGGCTAGAAGTGATTGAGCCATACTGTGGCTTCTAACCTGGTTATCCTTTTGGAACTATTGTCCAAAATCCAGGAATGAACTAGAATGATAGAAACATATCCAAGACAAAGTATACACTTTTATTATTTTGATTTGTTTCATTGCAAGTGTAATACCTGTTTATTATGGGAAATTTTAAAAATAAACAGGGAAACATACAGAGGAAAGTAGAAATTACCCAAGCATCACATCCTAACAGCAGGGTCTTTTCTTGTCACCTCCTAATTGCATCATCTCATGACTTACTCTTTTATGCTGTCTACCTCTTGAACAATGAGCTTTTATCATAATTAAAGTGTCTTCAAATGACAGTGTAGGATGGATTAGCCAGTAATACCATGGCGTGTTAATTCTTGCTGATGCTGGTTTCATAGTAATTTTTACCACCCTTGGCTCAAGCCTCTGAGTGTTCTCATCTTTTCTACTTATAATTGGACATCTGTTGCCTGGATGGAGATATTTTATGAATGTAACATTAAAATTGAAGATGTAGTTCCAAATCAGCTAAAAGGAAATCTTGCTTAGCTCTTGTTTGTTGAATAGTTGAATAGATCAAGAGTTTTATTGTTAACAAAATAGAAGAAAACGTTGTATCTTAAAAATAAATAGCGCAAAGGCTGGCACTGTGGCACAGTGGGTTAATCTTCCACCTGCAGCGCTGGCATCCCATATGGGCACTGCTTCTAGTTCTGGCTTCTCTTCTTCTCATCCAGCTCTCTGCTGTGGCCTGGGAAAGCAGTGGAAGATGGATAGATTGCTTGGGCCCCTGCACCAGCATGGGAGAGCCCGGAGGAGACTCCTGGCTCCTGGTTCAGATCGGCCCAACTCTGACGGTTGCAGCCGTTTGGGGAGTGAACCAGAGGATGGAAGACCTTTCTCTTTGTCTCTCCCTCTCACTGTCTGTAACTCTACTTGTCAATGAAATCTTTTATTTTTTAAAAAAGTAAATAGCACAGAAAGGGAAGGAAAAAATTCTGTTTTTCAATCTGCATAATTTTGACACCAACTTTTAATATAGATGGCCAACAAAAAATCATAAAACTACATATCAACTTCACATAAGGCTATTGTTCCAAAAACCCCAAATCATCATAAATGGACAGAAGTTATGTAAGAACTGCAGGGAGTAGAGATGAGTTTATCACCACACGAAAGGATGCTGTGAATCTGGTAGGGAATGAGGCGTACTTCAATGTATAGACATGGAGAAAAATCGCCTATAGGTGTTATTAATGGAAGAACGCGAAGTCCACAACTCAGTACCAGTATAGCATGTTTCTATTTGTGTAAGAAAAGGTTACTGTCTGTGGAGATTCCTCTGTGTGTGTGTTTGTGTGTGTGTCCGTGTGTACACATAGTTATACTACTATAAGGGTAAAAGCAACTTTTACAGTGGTTGATGATAAGAGAGGAAGACAAAGGGTAAGGTGGTGGAATCTTTTTTTTAAATTCTTTTTGTGTTTGAACTTTTAAATCAGGAGCCTGTAATTCTTTTTTTAAAAATCTGTTTTCAAATGGCAGTTCCATGTCAAAACACTTCACAGAAATCATAGTGACTAATTTTCCTCTTCTGTTAAGCCACTTGAAATACTTGGCTAATTGTGGAAGATAAATGTGAAGTGTGGGTGGGGGTGGGGGACTCTGAAGCCTTTGGGCCCTGGAGAGATATGGCAAACGGCAGTGGTGCTATTTATAGTTAATGTCAGTTTGACCCTCCGGTCGTTAGGAACTATTGACAAAAATAAGTAATTCCCGTAATGGTGAAGATGATGGTATTTAGAATTACTTCGTGGAGAGTTATTTATTTATTTTCATGTATGTCATGTCTAAATTTTAAAATTACAGAATAAAACAACCATTTAAAGCATTTGCCATTTTTCATGGTTTGCCTACTAGAAAACCAAGTGATAAAAGAAAGGATAACTGTTGCAGATATTTGTTTATAACTGTTAAATTTCTTTAACCATATTAAGTTCATAATACATTTAATTATAATACAATTAATAGGCTGTAGGTTTTCTTCATATGTAGGTCTTCTGAGTGTGTTCAAACCAAAGAGATTTTTCTTTTTTTTTTCTTTTTTTTTCTTTTTTTTTTACAGGCAGAGTGGATAGTGAGAGAGAGAGAGAGAAAGGTCTTCCTTTTGCTGTTGGTTCACCCTCCAATGGCTGCCGCGGCTGGCACCGCGCTGATCTGTACTCATCCTGGTCTCCCATGGGGTGCAGGGCCCAAGTACTTGGGCCATCCTCCACTGGAAGAGGGGCATCTGGGACAGAATCCGGTGCCCCAACTGGGACTAGAACCCGGTGTGCCGGCGCCGCAAGGCGGAGGATTAGCCTAGTGAGCCATGGCGCTGGCCTCAAAGAGATTTTTTTAATTTCCCGATTTTTCCATTTAAAATATAATTTTCAAGGCAGGCATTTGGTGTAGTGGTTAAGCTGCCTCTTGAGATACCCTCATTCCATACTGGAGTGCCTGGGTTCGAGTCCCAGCTCTGCTCACAGTTCCAGCTTCCTGCTACAGCGTTTGTCTGAAGTACTCAGGTCCCTGCTACTTACATGGGAGACTTGGACTGAGTTCTCTGTCACTGGCTTCAGCCTGGCCTAGCTCTGGCTGCCTTGGGCATTTGGGGAAGTGAACCAATTGGTGGGAGATCTGTCAGTCTCTGTATCTCTGCCTCTCCAATAAATAACATAAAACCTCTGAATCTGTTAAAAATAATAATATACAGCTGTACATTTTCTTTGGGCCTACATTACTTTATTTAAATGAGGAAGTGAAGTTTTTTTAAGCTTACCCCCAATCACCTTGCTGTCAATAACTGTTCTTTGTTATTTCTAGATTATGTCTAGGGTCTTGTACTCAAGGACTTGGTGTAAGAGTCCACATATTTATTAGTGAATTGGAAGTATTCTGTGTATTTTTTAAAAGATTTATTTATTTTATTTGAAAGGCAGAGTTACAGAGAGGCAAAGGCAGTGAGAGAGAAAGAGAGAGAGAGCGCGATCAATGTTCCATATACTGGTTCAGTCCTCAAATGGCTGCAACTGCTGGAACTGGGCCAATCTGAAGCCAGGAGCCAGGAGCTTTTTCTGGGTCTCCCATGCAGGTACAGGGGCCCAGGGACTTGGGCCATCCCTGCTTTCCCAGGCAACAGCAGAGAGCTGGATTGGAAGTGGAGCAGCTGGGATTCAAACTGGCTCCTATGTGGGATGCTGGTACTGTAGGCAGTGGCTTTGACTCTGTATTGTTTTGTTAATTTAAAGTCTAAGTAAATCCTCTACCAGAACCTTTCATCAAAATACTAAACGCTCTTCTGAGTGTGTGCAGTGTGGGTGAGAACTAACTTGGTGTGGTAATTCTTGCAGGCTGGGTTTCTGTTGCCTGTCATGTCCTCTTTTGAAGATGCTGACACAGAAGAGACGGTAACTTGTCTTCAGATGACTGTTTACCATCCTGCCCAGTTTCAAAGTGGAATATTTCAAGCAATAGACTTCAATAAAAGAGATAAACTGCCCTCCAGCGAAGTGGTAAAATTTGGCCGAAATTCCAAGGTCTGTCATTATACTTTTCAGGACAAACAGGCTTCCCGAGTTCAGTTTTCTCTGCAGCTGTTTAAGCAGTTCAACAGCTCAGTTCTCTCTTTTGAAATTAAAAATATGAGTCGGAAGACCAGTCTGATTGTGGACAGTCAGGAGCTAGGCTACCTAAACAAACTGGACCTGCCATACAAATGCATGGTCAGATTCAGCGAGTATCAGTTCCTGATGGAGAAGGAAGATGGAGAGGCATTGGATTCATTCGAGACTCAGTTTATTTTGTCTCCAAGACCACTTTTGCAAGAAAACATCTGGCCACCACACAAGCCCATCCCTGAGTATGGCATTTACTCATCCTGCTCCGCCCAAAGCACTTCTCCTACAGAAATGGATGAAGATGAGCTATAAACACAGAGGGCCTCAGAGGAGAGGCGGGAAGGGGGAAGAGCTCTGTAGACACCTGATGGACATTCAGCATAGTCTGTCAGTGTTGTGTATTATAGTCACCTGTTATGCTGTCACACTTACAATTTGGAATTATGAATTCGAAGTGTGTAATGTCTGTGAGTCATCAGCGTCATCACCTGTGCCATTCCCAATCTGTGAGAATTACTTTAGGTATACATCTGTGAGGGTTAATGTATTAAAAACATCCTTTGTGATGACATAGTTGTTCTCCAAATAAGATTCTATTATTGTCTTTTTGTGCTTGATTTTAGTCTTTTATCTGGTTGGTCACAACATTTCACAGCAGCCATTTGTCTTCAAGGTCAAGGTTCCAGAAAGGTTGGTGCTTGTTATTATGAGAATGGGTTCTAGAGTACTGCCTGTGCATCACTGTGCTTACATATGGAAGACTGATTTGAGAAAGCATAGTTTTCTGTGGTTCTCTAAGGATTACAGTGTTCATCCCTAAAATGAAAGTTTTCCTGCCTATGTTCAGCATCTAAATACATGTATACATTTTAAAGAAATACTGTTTTAGAATTATTTTCTCACCAAATCTGAAGTTTGATTTTTATGTAGTTGACAGTTTTTAAATTGCATAAATTCAAAATTTTAGTAGCATTCATGGATATAATCAAGTCAAATTTCATTGCCTAACCACTTCTTTGAAATTCTTTCTGGAGGGGAAAAACTGTTCTTAGGCCACTCTATGTAAGTAAATATATGTGAACATTTATAATGAATGCTTAAATATTTCTAAATTTTGGGCTTCAAAAAGAATTGTCTTTATTTAAGATTCTTATTCAGAATTCTTATATTTAAGATTCTTATTCATTTTAACTAAAAAGTGAAGGTCAAATAAATAAAACTGGTCACTCTTTGGTAGCTAAATTCTGAATAAAACTGGTCACTCTTTGGTAGCTAAATTCTGACATTGTGAAAAAGTCAGATTTCCCAAACCAGGCTGGCATTGTCAGGGTTTTTTGTTTTTGTTTTTTTTCTCTTCATACTATTTATTGAAGTCCTTTACTTAGTATAAGGTTAACTATATGATCATTAAGGGAACTGAAAATAGATGTTTGTAAAAATCAAAGAGTCAAAATGTGAGAGGGAGGAGGAGGAAGGGCTGGAGCATGGGCATGAGGGGGGTGGGGTGGGGGTGAGGGGGAAGTGTCACTGTGTTCCTGAATCTGTATATATGAAATACGTGAAACTTGTATAACTTAAATAAAATTTTAAAAAGAAACAACAGTTAAAAAGTGTAAATGAAATTTCTGGGGGTGGTGAGGGAAATAATTATATTTCCATAACAGCCTTTTCAAAGGTATTTTAAAAAACTTTCCAGCCTCTTAGCAAGTGAATGTTAACCTTTTCAAGCCTTCTGTTGATTAGACCATCGGTTGGTCAGTGCTGGGCTGTTTGTAGTATGTGACGTCCAGCACCTTGACCCCCGTTCCCCAGCCCTGGAGCTCTTCCAGTAGTTGAAGTACTTGTCCCTACACAAAATGGCCTGCATGACTATTTCAGTTCCCATGTCTAGTTTTTCTGCTTTCTCTCTGTGCTACGTGGAGCCATGTCCAGCACAAAGATGGCTAGCTGTCCATGTGCTAATCTTGGGAGTGTGTTCACCTTGCAGAAGGGAATTAAAGCTGCAAGTAGAATTAGGGTTACTGATCAGGTACCTTTTCAAACAGATTATCTTGGATTATCTGGGTGGGCCCAGTTAATTACAGGGTCCTTCAGAGTGGAAGAGAGGCAATACAAGAGGTCAGAATGATGCAGTGTGAGAGGAATTTGTTCTGCTCTTGCTGGCTTTGAGATGGCGGAAAGAGGCCATGATCCCAAGAATGGCAGCAGCCTCTTGAAGAGCTGGGATACCTGCACTGGCCATGCAGAAGCTAGGAAAGACAAAGAAACTTAGAATAAAAGAAACTTTGAATGAAATTCTGGGGACACTTGGATTTTACTCTAGTAAGACCTGTGACTTCTTACCTACAGAACTTTATAATGGTAAAATTGTGCTTTTTAAATGATTTATTTATTTGAGAGGTAGTTATAGACAGGGTGGGAGAGACAGAAAGGGCTTCCATCCACTGGTTCACTCCCCAAATGGCCGCAGTGGCTGGAGCTGGGCTGATCTGAAGCCAGGAACCTCTTCCAGGTCTCCCAGTTTACCACACAGTGCAGGGGTTCGAACCGGTGCCCATATGGGATGCAGGCACTGCAGGCAAGGGCTTAACCCACTAGACCACACCATTTGTGCTGTTTTAAGCTACCAACTTGTTACAGTAGCAGATAGGAAATATGCTGTCTTCATGGTTCTGTCAATCAGTTGCCTTTATTGTCCAGTTTTTTTTTTTTTTTTTTTAAATTTTTGACAGGCAGAGTGGACAGTGAGAGAGACAGAGAGAGAAAGGTCTTCCTTTGCCGTTGGTTCACCCTCCAATGGCCGCCGCTGCAGCCGGCGCACCGTGCTGATCCGATGGCAGGAGCCAGGATCCAGGTGCTTTTCCTGGTCTCCCATGGGGTGCAGGGCCCAAGCACCTGGGCCATCCTCCACTGCACTCCCTGGCCATAGCAGAGAGCTGGCCTGGAAGAGGGGCAACCGGGACAGAATCCGGCGCCCCAACCGGGACTAGAACCTGGTGTGCCGGCGCCGCAAGGTGGAGGATTAGCCTATTGAGCCACGGCGCCAGCTTTATTGTCCAGTTTTTCTGTAGGGTTATAGCTTCCTCTCACGTGGATTTACAAACTCAGTGATTCAGCTTGTTAGAATTGTTTCCCACAGGCCGGCGCCTTGGCTCACTTGACTAATCCTCTGCCTACGGCACCAGCACCCTAGGTTCTAGTCCCGGTTGCTCCTCTTCCAGTCCAGCTCTCTGCTGTGGCCCGGAAGGGCAGTGGAGGATGGCCCAAGTGCTTGGGCCCCTGCACTCGCATGGGAGAGGAGGAAGCACCCGGCTCCTGGCTTCGGATCAGCGCAGCGCTGGTCATAGCAGCCATTAGAGGAGTGAACCAACGGAAGGAAGAGCTTTCTGTCTCTCACTGTCTATAACTCTACCTGTCAAAAAAAAAAAAAAAAAAGAATTGCTTCCCACAGATAGTACCTTGCAGACTGCTTGTAGGTATACTCGTACTTTCATGTGTATATACTGTCATATTTTAACCATTTTGTAGGACTTTTTCCACTTCTGTTTCTTGTGTTTGAGTCTGATAGAAGAGTTTCTAGATTATAAAGTTGTTTTTTTTTTGACAGACAGAGTTAGACAGTGAGACAGAGACAGAGGAAGGTCTTCCTTCTGTTGGTTCATCCCCCCAAGTGAATTTATATATCGATATTACTGAACCCATACAAATGTATTATTAGTACATAGCCCTAGGAAAACATCATGTTCATATAAAATAGCTGGTGATTTCTTTAAATGAACATCCTGGAAGTTTTTGTTCAACTTGGGAAATATATTTTTATTTTTTATCTATTTTTTTTTCCTTAAAAGATCAGTAAATGAGAGTTGGCTATTATATAACTTACCTTTGTTCTCCAAAGAACAGAAACACTTTTCATAGCCCAATTCCAGAGACAATAACAGGAGCAAGAGGGTACTAGGATTGTTTTGATGACCAAGTATGGACGCTCTACCACAACTACCCAAGCACAGAGCGGGTAGAGGAGTGCTGGAGCATCACAGAACCCCTGGAAGCAAAGAGCAGACTGCAGACAGGGTTCAGACACCTCCAGCTCTGCCCCTCCATGCATTCTGGCTGCATTTTCCATTGTTCTGAATTCTATGTGCTAGCTCACTGCACCCAAAAGAAACTGAGACCTTGGAATTCTAATTCCAAGGAAAGGTGGGCTTGGGTCATTCATTCACTCACCTCAGTCACGTAATGTGATGGTTGCTCTGGTCAGTGGTATCATAGATAGAAAATACATTTTGTCAAAATGGCTACACTAGAGTAGGAATGAGGGCAAACAAAATTGCTGTTTGATACTAGCTACCGTAGGTAAGTTGGGAAAACTTTAGTACATACCTTAAGGATGTATTTGTCCCAGGAAATTGATTTTTCTTGGGCTGTTTAAGTAGAGGAGTCTACTAGTCAATGTCAATGTTACAACCATTGGCAGTTTTTTTCCTAAATGTGCAACTTCATGATGTGATTGTGCTTTCCAGTGGTGAAATCTCATGTGCCAAATGATTACAGAGCCATTTTAGAGGAACTACGGTAATGCACTGATTGATTTATAAAAGCTTTACGATTTCTGACTAACATGAATGGCGTTTGTTCCAATGAAGGTAAGATGGAGATTACCTCAAAATATTCATGAAAAAACAAGACTTAAGAGATTTTGGTGCAAAATTTTATATCTCTGCAGAGTATTTTCATAGCATGTATTTTGATGAATTTTTTAAAGACTCAACAACATGTGTTCACTTAAGGTCTACTTGAATCTATGAGCAGGGCAGCACTGCCACCTGCATTGCGGGCATCCCATATGGGCAATGGTTCGAGAACCGGTTGCTCCACTTCTGATCCAGCTTTCTGCTATGGCCTGGGAAAGCAGTAGAAGATGGCCCGAGTCCTTGGGCCCCTGCACTCATGTGGGAGACCTGGAAGAAGCTCCTGGCTCCTGACCGGCACAGCTCCGTTTGGAGAGCCACCATTTGGAGAGCGAACCAGCAGATGGAAGATAACTTTCTACCTCTGCCTCTCTAATTCTGCCTTTCAAATAAATAAATAGCTCTCAAAATAATCTATGAAATATCTATGCCTTGTAAAAAGTTAGTCATCATCTTGCTAACAGGAGGGAACTGTTGTTAACAGTTTGTGTATATACGGTAGCAGCTTCTGTGTTACCTCATGACCCTTTTGTTTTCTTAGTTATCTGATATCCCTTATGTTAATTATCTATTTAAAAACAAATATGGTCATTCTTTTACTGAGTGGATTGTGGTGACTAAGAATGAGAGCTATGAAAATTGTAGTTGGAAGTGTGCCGGGGACACACTTCTGCTTCTGTGCTTGAATCCACCTGGGCCCCTACCACCCACATGGGAGACCTGGGTAGAGTTCCTGGCTCCTGGCTTCAGCCTTGCCCAGCCCTGGCTGTTGCAGATATTTGGGGAGTGAGCCATCAGATGGAAAAGCTCAATCTCTTTGTTACTCTGCCTGTCAAATCTTAAAAAAAAAAAAAGTGTAGTCAGAGGGTGGGCATTTGCTGCATGGGTTAAGTTGCTGCTGTAGACCCTTATGTCCCTTACTGGAATGTATGGTTCAAGTCCTGGCTACACTGCTTCTGATTCACCTTCCTGCTAATGAGCACCGTGGGAGGTAGCAGGTGATGGCTCAAGTGCTTAGGTCCCTATCACCCATGTGGGAGACCTGGTTTGAGTTCTGGCCTTCTGGCTTCAGCCTGGCCCAGCCCTGGCTGTTGCAGGAATTTGAGCAGTGGACTCGCAGTTGAAAGATCTCTATCTGTATCTCTAAATATTTTTTTTAAAGATTTATTTATTTATTTGAAAGTCAGCATTACACAAAAGGAGAGGCAGAGAGAGGTCTTCCATCCACTGGTTCACTCCCCGGGTGGCTGCAACAGCTGGAGCTATACTGATCCAAAGCCAGGAGCCTCTTCAAGGTCTCCCATGTGGGTGCAGGGGCCCAAGCTCTTGGGCCATGTTCCATTGCCTTCCCAGGCCATAACAGAGAGCTGGACTGGAAGTGGAACAGCCGGGACTTGAACCAGCACCCATATGGGATGATGGCACTGCAGGCAGCAGCTTTACCCACTATGCCACAACACCAGCCCCCAAAATAAGTTATTTTTAAAAAAGAAGTGTAGTTGGAATTTCCTGGGATTGAGGATGAGTTTTCCCTGAATCTGGTGACTAATCACTCTGCTATTCATCCTACATGAAAATACTTAGCTGGCCTTCTACCTCTTAACCCATGATTAAGGCTGGTGAACAAAGAAAACAATGGATTCAGCTCTGTTGCTGGCTTCATTATTTTGTTGCTGATGGAAAGCCATCAAGTGACTGGGGATGAATTCATTTGGCTCTGTGTGATGGCATCAGTGCACCAAAAATCAAGACTGTGACATTTAAAAACAAAGCTTGGGGGCTGGCGCCGCAGCTCACTAGGCTAATCCTCTGCCTTGTGGCGCCGGCACACCGGGTTCTAGTCCCGGTCGGGGCGCCAGATTCTGTCCCGGTTGCCCCTCTTCCAGGCCAGCTCTCTGCTGTGGCCTGGGAGTGCAGTGGAGGATGGCCCAAGTCCTTGGGCCCTGCACCCCACGGGAGACCAGGATAAGTACCAGGCTCCTGCTATCGGATCAGCGCGGTGGCCATTGGAGGGTGAACCAACAGCAAAAGGAAGACCTTTCTCTCTCTCTCTCTCACTGTCCACTCTGCCTGTCAAAAAAAACAAAACAAAACAAAACAAAAACCAAACAAACAAAAAAACAAAGCTTGGGAGATTGAGTACAGTCACAATACGACGCAATGGAACTTTATTTTAGGTCAATGTTACCTTTTTATGGTATCACGTGTGGTATCTTAAAACAAGTTTCGATCCTCCAAAATTAAGGTAAGCATACTTTTTCTGACAGCTAAGCAGAAAGACCCCAAACTTCCATTCCTCAAAAATAGTATTCACCTAATTTCTTTACATAAGGATGGGCTCTGAATCATTCTACTTGGGTTCACCCTTTCTCATGTAATCTGAAACTAACTCAGATCCCTCTAATGAAAAACCATATTAAAATATTGCCCATCCCACAGGGTCTCTGCGAAGACCAACTTAGATAAAGTATGTAGTGTCCTTACCATAGCATGTTATTAAAATTAGCACTGAGCACAGTTAGGTTCTTATATCTGGTGGTCACATATAAAAGATTTCTCAACTACAGAGGACATTACTGTATCTGGGTGTCACCGTGTTACTGCCTTAGGAGACAAAAATCAGGTGCAGAAAATCAGTATTTCTTTATGGAATTCTCTTATGATCTCTTACTGTCATAATTAACCAGAGGTACCAAGTAAACGAAGATAGGAAAGCACTAGAATACATTTGACAGAAAACAATTTTAAGCATGTTCTTGAGAAATTTTGATTAAGACATCTTTATGTAGTTGAAGTAAAATTAAAACTACTCTCTGCTAGAAAAATATACCTGTAATTACTGGGGAAAAAAGCAGGCATAATTCTAAATTTCAGCATTTTGGAAGTTCTAGCTTCTTAAATAAGTACCCTCACATAATCCTAGGCAGCCCATTCCTCTGCTGACAGCAGAATTTTTCCATGAATTGTCCAAACTGGCTGTTCTTACTCTTCATTCCTGCGCTCTCTGCTTTCCATCCCTTCACTTGTGCCACAGACATCATACAGCTGTCTTCCTTTTACCAAACCTGCCTCATGCCTCTCCCTCACAAAGCATTTGACACTGCTGACCCCTCTTTACGGCTTCTCTGATACCACATTCTCTGGTTCTCTGCACTCTTCTTGTAACTGCTCTTCAGGCTATTTTTCTATCTCCAGCTTCTAAATGTCAGTATTTATTCTCTGCCTCTGAGTTCCCCAAGGTGAACTCAGTATAATGACTTCAAACACAACTGAACTCCCAATGATTCCCAAACTTGTACCCAGACCTCTTCCTCAAGCTACATACACTCCAGCACCTGTTTCAGCTCTTCATTCAATCTCTCACAAGCACCTTAAATTTACCTTTCCAACCAGCACTCTTCATTTCACCCACTTTCCCAAGCCTGTTTCTCCCATTACATTTAGGAAGTCAAATCAGAACGAAGAAATTACTTTCAAGCAGCTGCTACACTGGCTGTAACATTTCCATGGATCTGGCCAGTAGGGAGACCAGTACAAACAAGATTTAGACCCTCCATTACTCACAGATATAAAAGCAACATCATCATGGAGTTAGTTTGGGTCCTTAGGGATGTCCCTAAGGTGACACTGAACCAAGGGGCCTGATGACAGACAATGTAAGCATGGGGTAGCTATTACTGAGGGGCCAACTGCGACCTACAGTCAAGCAGTTTTGGAGCCTGCACTGTACCTGAGCGAGGGCAAGGTGAAGAGTCTGTGACTCACTGGAAGCAGCGAGTTAGCTAAGGAGCTGCCTCACAGCAGCCTTATTCAAGAAAGGGAGGCAGACCCTTTGACAGCCCCTTCAAGACTTTAGGGGGGGCTGGTGTTGTAGCGTAGCAGGTAAGCTGCCACCTGTGATGCTGGCATCCCACATGGGTACTGATTTTAGTCCTCGTTGCTCCACTTTCCATCCAGCTCCTTGCTAATGTGCCTGGGAAGGCAGTGTAGAATGGCCCAAGGGCTTGGACCCCTTCACCCACGTGAAGAAGCTCCTGGCTCTTGGCTTCAGTCTGGGCCAGCCCTGGTTGTTGAGGCCATTTGGGCAATGAACTAGCAGATGGGAGATCTCTCTCTCTGTCTCTCCTTCTCTTTCCAACTCGGCCTTACAAATAAATAAAATAAATCTTAAAAAAAGGGGTTACTTATCTTCCCGTGTTCTATGACTGTATATTTCCTAACTGTGGTCTGTAATTTCTTTGTATAATGGTTATTACTATCTCTTTCACCAGAATGGTAAGTAAAGGATCAGGGAACTTATGTATCTTTTTTACTGCCATGTCTCTAACACCCTAACAGACCCAGTAGATTCTCCAACTGTTGCCTAATATGTGACTTCTAATTTTTTTTTAAGAAACATAAAAAAATTACTATTCTTTTTCTTAGCAGTTAAAACATTTTCAAGTTTAGTTCTATCTTCTTTTCATAATTTACTCCTTTGTGTCTAATCATATTGAGTTTAATAATCATAATTCATGGGGCCAGCGCTGTGGCACAGTGGGTTGATGCCCTGGCCTGAAGTGCCGGCATCCCATATGGATGCCAGTTCTAGTCCCGGCTGCTCCTCTTCCGATCCAGCTCTCTGATATGGCCTGGGAAAGCACTAGAAGATGGCCCAAGACCTTGGGCCCCTGCACCCACGTGGGAGACCCGGAAGAAGCTCCTGGCTTCCTGGCTTAGGATCGGCACACTCTGGCCGTTGCGGCCATCTGGGGAGTGAACCAGTGGATGGAAGACCTCTCTCTCTGTCTCTACCTCTCTCTGTAACTCTTTCAAGTAAATAAAATAAATCTTTTTTTTTTTTAAAATCATAATTCAGAAGTCATATTTGCATGTTTACATAGTAAAACCAATAATCAAATAATTTATTATCTTTAAATGTAAAAATGTGTTTATTCACAATCCTTGAGAAGTTACCATTCCTTCAAAAAATTCTTTATGAACAAAAAGCCAAGAAAAGTTACAATAGTAGCTTATGCCAAACCAAAAATACACATCTGATGTATACAAACTTTAAAAAGCATTAACACAGGCAATGTAAATATAGATTACCTTTAAAATATTTCCAATGACATAGCTACAACTTAAATTATGAGAGACATAAATAACAGCATTAGTTAATATATATTTACATATTAAAATGTCATTTCTATGAGATAGAAAAGGACATAAAACTACAGATGTCATTGCCTAGCAGTTCAAATATTGAAAGGGCCACATGATTTTTTTTTTTTTAAGTACACCAAGAACTTGAAGTTACTATTTATATCTGGACCTTCCTATATTTTTTGGAACGTGCAGTCACTGTTGCAAGAAAAAGAAAAGAAAAACACACTAAAGGAAAATCAAACAACAATTTGTTTATTACTAAAACCATACTCAATCCTCAGCAAAATCAAGGAAAGCAATTAGAGTGTGTTTTATATTCCTGGCTTTTTATATTGATGCATACAATTTGGGGTAAAGAAGATGTAATTGTCTATCACAAAATGCAGGTATATATATTGAGAAACTTAGTTACATCCCATCAAAGCACCTTGTACTACAAGGCAAGGAAACTATAATGAAATCAATGAAGACTTTCATACCAAAAAAGATTTTATGTATTCTAAAATACCCGTATTACTCTTTTAGGTGTTTCTTTCTTAAATCATGCAGAGAATATGTTCTGTGTAAAATCTTTCTAAGATCATTTATTGGAAATATAGAATTTAAAAAAATAGCAACACCTAAAAACTTAATATAGCAATTCAAAGTCAATATAATGGCACATAAAATGAAGTGAAAAACCTAAATATATACTTTTTCTTAAATAGTATTGTTGATTATATCCAACTTGAAATGTCCAAACTCTGAAAGCTTATTTTTTTCATATTATCCTTTCTTCAGATGTAATCAATGTTATCATACTAGGATATATAAGTATAGAAAGAAACTGCTACTCAGCATTTCCTAGAGTCATCTACTCAAATTAATTGTGCTTACTATTAGACAATAAAACTCAAAGTAGTCACAGAAATAAATAACACTAGAAAAGGGAACACTATTTTCAATTTGTCCCTCCTCATGCTCCCTTCACACCTGCTGAGAATTCACAAAAAAAGGCCTTAATATTTTCACAGATAATGCAGTAGGCTTAAAGCATTCAAAATAAAATGTTTTGAAAAGTGAAAATCTCCAAAAGAAACAATGCTATAAAGAAAAGAGCTAAAATAATGTAATTGGTAACATGACAGAACCAATAAATTGGTCTGGAAAAGCAGAAGGCAGATGATGAAATTGCACTTAATTCTGAAGCAAGTCAGATCTATCCTATCATTCCTACTGCTTTCTAACAAAATAAGCATTTACAACATGGTTTTTCCCTTCCCTTACAAAAAGGCTCAGCACAACCATTTATACATTCTAGTTGGTTTTTAACATTTGGTCATAACTGATAAACAAGGTCACACAATTTTACCCTATCGAGTCTGCTGATCTGTATCATACTGCTGCATGGCAGAATCAGACAGTTCTAATACAGGATTTACAAACCCAGAATACTCAGAATTGCCATTATCATCCATTTCCGCACTAACAAAATCATTCTCCCACTCCAGCCCATTGGAATCATCAGAGGCTGATGTCGGATTACTTCCAGTCTTCTTGCTGCTGCACTTCAGTGCTGCCCGGAGAATGTCTTCCTCTGTTTTGGAACGTTCTCTCATGGGAAGCATTCTAGTCATCCCTAGGATTGGAACACAGATTTCAGAATTCTAGATGTAGATAAACAGCTACATTAAAAGACTTCCCAGTTCAACCATATTGATTTTATATAACTATCAGACTTGCTTTGTAAATTAACTTAAAAAGCTAGTCCTCTGTGGGCCTTATTAAGGGACATTGTTGGGGGTGTAATCCCAAAATATGCCTTTGATAAAAATATTAATATTTACCAAAGAGCATTTTTGATGCCACACTGATTATTTAATAAGGCAAAACTTCTGAAGAGTCACAAATAAAACAGAATAAATGGAGGATTTCAACTTATGTGGCCAAAGTGTGTTGGCCAAAGTCCTTTCCAATTATGATAATTTCATTTCCCAAGAATGACAATCATTCCAATGATAATAACAACACACACTTTTTCAATGCTAAGTTCCAGTTAGTGCTGTATGCACTTCATAGATACTGAATGATTTAATCCTCAACAACTCTATGAAATAAGTACTATCATTATCCCCATTTTATAGTTGAGGAAATGGGACTGAAGGATAAGCAATTTGCATAAGGTCACACAGTTACAAGTGGTAAATCAAGAATTCTGATGGACTCAGGCTAGTTCCAAATTCGGTGTTCTTAGACTTTTTGTACAATAAGGGAGTAGAGATGTTTTAAGGGGAAACTGTATTAGTTTTAAGTCTGAATAGAAAGAAATTGGTTGGTAAAGTGAAAATGTTAAAAATCTTAGAAGAAAAAAATGTCATTTTATTAGCAGAAGGAAGAGAGGACAGAAATGAAATCTGAGTTTCTGGAATCAACACTGGTAACAATTAAAATCTAGGATTGGCAGATATGATGAGAGAATAACCAACACAGACAATGATTTTATTTTTGTTCTTAAAACATTAGATCCTATAGTAATAAAAGAACAATTATGTCTATATCACTGTTATCTATGACACCTGAAAAATCACAAAAACATAAGCCAGTATAGCAAGCTATTTCTATAGACAAAACAAAATATGCACCAGATGCTAATGTAATTTGTGAATTTATTTCTGTGGATTTATATATATCAACCTAGAAGTATGTTTTTAGTGAGCTCTGTCCTCTGCCTAGTCCAATTTAATAATTCCATTAATAACTTCAATAAAAACCTAGAAAGTCACTTTATCTACACATTTGATTAACATATAATGTGGAGAATAGAATCAGTAATTAAACGACCTGAAAGGAGAAGGGTCAAATTTAACAAGATGTTAAAACCAGAATGAATTTTTTTAAGAAAATCATGATTAGATAACGTATGCCAAGATAAAAAATTCCAAAGATGAGAAATAAAATGGTAAGCACTAAATAAATAAATAAATAAATAAAGCTTGATGATTGGGATCCAAATATGCAATAACTAATACAGGATTGGGAAAATGGTGTTTAGCTGAGAATACTTAAAGTTAATGCAGACTTTGATAAAGTTATCCAGGTTCCCAATGTATCTGTCTATTTATCTATCTGATAAAACAATGGTTTGAATAGAGAGTATCTAAGGTTCACTTAATCTCAAAATTCTATGAAGTGTTTAATACTTATTTTTTTCCTAAAGTCCCATATTTTATAATCCAGTCTTCCTTTCTGGACTGCTTATTAAAAATATGAAAATTGGGGTCTTATTCAGTGAACTATATTTTAAAAAGACAACATTTTTGGCTACAATTTTGAATATTTGACACATACCACACCCTTGCTACATAAACACCTGCTATCTTATATATCTTTTATTTAATCCTCACAACATTTATCCATTCATTTGCTCATTTATTAACTGCCTACATGTGCCAGGGATATTCAGACTCCAAATACATGACAGTGAAATCTTATCTATTAAAGTAGGTTCATTATTCCCTTTTAATGATGAACAAATTATAGTTTAAAACAAGTAAATACTTTAAAATGCTGCCACTAGGAATATGTATAGCTAAAATTTCAAATCCATATCTGAGGTATAGCTTTTGTTTTACAAAAATGACTAAGAAGCAGTGTTTAGCTTATCAGTTAAGATACTGGTGAAAAAACTGGTGTCCCACATCAGAGTACCCAGTTGGAAACCTGGTTCCTGACCCCAGCTTCCTGCCAATGCAGATCCCAAGAGGCAATGGTGATCATTCAAGTTATGGGTTCTTGCCACCCATATGGAAGACTGAGATTATGTTTCTGGCTTCCGGCTTTTGCCCCAAGCCAGCCTCTGCTTTTAGGAGTTTTGGGGGAATAAACCAGTGGATAGGAGCTTACTCTTTCTTTCTCTCTCTGTGCCTCTCAGATAAAAATTTAAATTAAAAAAAAAAGCACCTAACAAATAAAATTGTCAATTTATAATAAACCAAGTTAACTAGTTTTTGGCTTTAGATTACTCACAAGGGGACAATAATCCTTTATGGGCTGGATTACAAAAATTTTAAGAAATTAACATTTATTTTCTAAATCTCAAGAAACATTAAAAATTAAGTATTTCCTAAACAATTAGTCACCACAAGATGATCACTAATACAAAACAGTACAGAAAATTTTTATACTGATTTTTCAAGGCCTTGCATTCATTTCTGTTTAAATAAACTAACAGGGCAGGAGATTTATATAAATCAACATGAATTGGATCTTTAAGATAAAACTGTGAATTATATAATACCTTCTTCATCTTCCCACTCTAGGTCTAAGGATGTGCTGTCATCATTTCCACTAGTTGATTTAGTTTTGGTCATTAAATCACAACTGCTTTCTGTATTTGGTGTAAGAACTGTGGCATCAGACGAGAGTCCTAGAAAACACACCAAACACAATTAAATGTCATCTGTACATTTGACCACAATAGTCATTTTATTTTACAACAACTATCTCTCTAAATATAAGTATTCCTTTTAACTTAAGAAACAATAATTGAAATAATTACATTGCTAAGTTTCCGTTAGGAACAGTTGTATAAAGGGTTTCTGTCACCCAAACATAACATACAAATATAAGTGAATTATAAACTTTTTACATAATTAATTTTAGATAATGTTTCAACACTCAATTACAAAGGGGGCTTAAAAATGACAAAACCCATGAAAGGCAGGCTATATATTTTTTTAAATATAATTTTTAATTAAAATCTTTAAATCCGTATTTTCTTTCTTTTTTTTTTTTTTTGACAGGCAGAGTTAGACAGTGAGAAAGAGAGACAGAGAGAAAAGTCTTCCTTTGCCGTTGGTTCACCCCGCAATGGCCGCTGCGGCTGGCGCACCGCGCTGATCCGAAGCCAGGAGCAAGGTGCTTCTCCTGGTCCCCCATGCGAGTGCAGGGCCCAAGGATTTGGGCCATCCTCCACTCCCTTCCCGGGCCACAGCAGAGAGCTGGACGGGAAGAGGAGCAACCAGGACAGAATCCGGCGCCCTGACCAGGACTAGAACCCGGGGTGTTGGTGCCGCAGGTGGAGGATTAGCTATTGAGCTGCGGCGCTGACCTAAATCCGTATTTTCAAAAGGAGCTGCAGTTGTTTCCCCTACTGGGCAGCACTGCAGTTTTAATTTTTGAAACTTGAATAAACATATAAATCTTAGAAATCAAGTTGTAACAAGAAAAATAAGTACACTTTTGTACTATTTCTCACCCTTCTTTTCTTTCTGGGGGAATGGGAGGGGTGAGAACAGCATAGAAATGGAAAAAAGAGTACTTGACTCCTTATATGGATCGACAGAGAGAGCCTGAGATTTTTCTCTGCTCCAACTCCTTTTTAAATAGGAAAGATGATACTGTATAAAGAATGACTAGTTAATTCACCTATCTGGGCAATATAGGTGAAAGGCCACAAAGTTCTATAGAAAAGGAATCAGGATTTTCAATGATGTGTTTTTACTGTGGCATTAAAGTAAACTTAAAATACACAGAACATATTTTAAAAGACTTACTACTACTTCGAAAAACTTCATACTGTGACTTTATATTTCTCAAACAAGATTCAAAGTCATCTTCTGGTCCTGAACTGCAATAAAAGTGAATTTATATGTATATATATATTTTTTTCCATAGAAGATGCAAAGTAGAGGCAACAGAACAAATAGTTAAGTTAGTGACAGTATTCTAGTTTAAAGGCCTATCTCACACATTCATAACTGCTGTATAATTAGAATAACCTAACAAAAATATGTCTTAGTTTTCTTAATGCTAGAATGAAACCGAAAAAAATTAAGTGCAATCTGTAAAATTTAGCCATAAGTTCAACCTGACTATATGATAATGAATAAGATTCACTGAATGATACTAGTGGGATACTAGTGGAAATGTGACAATGAGATGTTTCTTCCAAAACACAATCAAAAATCAACTTTATTAGAAGAAAAGAGAGGGTCTAAGGAAAACACATATAACTCAGATATACACAGCTGACCTGAAGGCATCCAGCTATTGCATCACCTTGTATATGGAAGATGTGATCACTCTTAAAAAATGCCGTGCAGTTAATTTAAATAAATGATCATCTTCCAACTTAAGGAAAATAAATGCTGTCAGAATTCTTCTAAGACAATATCTTTGAGAAGCAATAACTTTTAGGAAACACATAAACATGAACATGTACATAAATATCCTGAAGTGAACTGCAAATCTCTTTGGAAATAAAACTTTCTACTATAAAGGGATGAAGAAACAGTTTCAATATTTACCTTTGATATTCTCCATTGTTGGAAGGATGACATCGCTGTGCAACTCTCTGCCTTTCTTGCTTTGGAAACAAAATGAAATCCAAATCACTCTGTTGTGTAATTGTATTTTTAAAAATCAGTCATGTAGCACTAAAATATTTTTCCTGGTTTCTAAAAACACACCTTTAAAATTATTCTGTAAAGTCATTTTTCTTAAATTCACCATTATTCACTTCCATATCCTCTTATTTATGGGCAGAATTGTTCTCATTTAATCAGTATATAATATGCTAAGCACTTAGAAGATTTGTAATTTTTAAAAAAAAAAACTTTTAAAACATATGTTTGCCGGTGTTCTCAATATCTCCTGAGTACTCCTAAGTACTTCATAATAAGTGGAGATATGAGGGACAGGAAAGGAATAATTAACACTGTACATTAGGTTCTAATCTGGGTAAAAATAAGTAGCATTAAAACAAAGGATTTATAAGACTTGGATGAACTGACTCAAAAATAGTAAAAGCAATTATTATTCAGGATTTAAATAGGGTTTAGATGACCTGTCAGAATTACATTCAGACAGTTGGGAGCTATGTATCCCTGGCATGGCGTTTGCTGTTTGTTTTTTATCTATAAATTATAGATGGCTACATTATTGCCCTAGAAAACTCAGAGTGATGAAAATCAAGTGAATTGGTATATATCTGTGAATGTTTGTGTGTCACTGAGTAGACTGTATAGATTTTGTATCCCTATATCATTCAGATAAGGAAAAATGGAGAGAACCCTGGAAATCAACCCAATGAATGCTGCAAATGGAATCCTTTTAGTTTTTATAAGGCAAGTGGTAGAAAACCCAAGCACCTGTATTAAAAGCAGTACATTAATTTCTTAGAAAGTGACAATTTATATTTTTCTATTTAAGAATTTGCTAAAAAAAAAAAAAAGCCACTCCCTCCCATATAATTTATCAGCTGAAACATGAGAGAGAATACAATTCACATAAAAATCACATACTAACATGATAAACAGTTTTCAGTTTCTCTGGTTTTATTACCTGACATATTCTTTGTACTACGTCAGTTAACACTATGGTAAGGAATGGGCAGAATATGGAGGAAGATACCAAGTAATACTCTGCTGTGCCATTTATTAGCTGAATGATCTCAAGCAAATGACTTACTCTACCTGGCCCTCAGTTTCCTCATTGGTAACACGGGGATTAAAACACCACCTATCTCCGAAGGTGGCTGTGAGGATTAAATAGGCACAACATTTAAATGACTTAGAACAGTTCCTGACACTTAGCTAGAGCTCCACAAAGGTCTGCTATTCATGCTGTTAGACAGTATGGCGAGAAATGGTACATCTGCAGCCTTTTCTGGTAAAATACCAAAGATTTCTCAAGATCTAAACTCCCAGTCTCCCAAGGATGCAAGGATAAAGATGAGATGTAAACAACACCCCAGTGAGACAAAATCACACAGCTTGTCTGATTCTAGAAAGCATAAGAAATCCTAGCAGTTCTAGGAACTGTTTAGAAAAAAGAAAATGCTTTGGAAATTAACTACTTTGCTAGCTTTGCCATGTTTTACCTCTAAGAGCATGTTTATTTTAAGAATACTGAATAATTTTTGAGCACTAATATCACATGTAAGATAAGCAGGAATTAGCTGCTGCTAAACAGCGTTCAATTCAAACATATAAATTTGATGTTAGTTCTAGTCATTAAGGATTGATCAATTTGCTTTTTAAATTCCCAAGAATATATATGCATAGATACATTTATTGTTAAACAAGAAGCTTGAATCTACAGGGGGAAAAAGGTCCAACTAAGATTTGTCAGAGAAAATAAGGAGAAAAGTAACCCTAATATATGTTGGGGTCTTTTCCCCTCACCTCCAAGAGCTTTCGCTGCTTTGCTGCCCTGGCTGCTTCACGCTGTGCAGCGTATAAAGCTTCTTCTTCTAGTCTTAACTTCTCCTCTTGTAAGGCTAACTGTATATGAACAAAACGATAAGGATTAACAAAATCAGAACCTGTCTAACTGCTCTAAAAAGCAAATGCTTCTCTAATTTGTAAAATAAAAAATAAATCACTGAAAAAATGATTTCTATGAGGCATTAACAGAATTGAAATTTTTGTGATTGTTCATTTCAATTCCTCCCTTTATAAAATAACTCAAACGATATGAAACACATTACAGAATTCTTTGAAGTTGAATTTTGAAGCAAAAACATCGAATTTCATTAAATATAGAACTGTTTCTTTCTAGATTAGAATATGCAGTAGTCTTCATTTTCAACAATCATTTTAACACTTAACTAGTTTAACTGTTTTGGCTCTTTTAAGTCAAAGATCTTTAAAATTAAGACCAATCATACCACTGTCTACCAAGTGTACTACACTTTCTAATTCATGGCTCTCATCTAATTAAAATTGATATACATGCCTCCTTAATGTTATTATTATGAAACTGTTAAAAAATTATGAGTTCTTTCAACTTTGAGCTTTTACTGTTCATAAAAGCATACCTACTGCTTTAATGATATGTCAAAGCTAAGGTAAAAGTCAAATTTCAACGCAATTTTTTTCTTTTGACTAATATTAATACCTTTGTGTAGCTAAGTTAATGCTTTTGAAATTACTAATTGGTACCAAGTAAATTTTTAAAATATAATGAAATATGACCAATTCCATTTAGTTAGTGAAAATACTATAATTGTAGGCCATTTTCGTAAGTATATTAAATACTATTATGACTGCTAGAAGTACTTGGTTCACTGAAAACAAATAAAAAGATAAAAAAAAAACACAGTGTGAAAGAATATTTTTAAGTTTGTTTTAAACATGAAGGTACACATTCTTGCTAGCATTCCCATCTGTGAATTAAGAAATTACTTTTAAAAGAATATAGTATATTCAGTTTTTGGCATCACAGAATTTCTGACAAGTTAAATCAAACTAAAAAGAAATTGCAATTGGCTGGAATAATTATTTAAATCATTTTATCTGTATATAACTAAATATAGATCCAATGCCTGTATGTAATATATTATCTAATGACAATTCTCCCCAATAAGTGAGGCTTTATGATAACATATATATAAGCAACATAGAAGACTATTTACCTCTTTTTGAATTTTCTTATCAATGTCTTTCTGTTTTTCAGCAATAGAATCATAATGTCTTTCTCTTAGGTCAACAATTTCTTCCTCAGTAAGAGGTCTACAGAAAAGGGGGGTATAGGAAGAAAGAAAAAAATAAAAAATGGCGAGTTTGATAAAACACAAAGTCAATGAAATTCTGAAATTTTGCTATTGTAAGTGTATAAAAGCAATTAGACATGACAACTTCAATTGTAAAGGGTAAAAAGCATATATTCTAATACTTGTTCTGGTATAAAAGTTGAGCAAGGCCATGTATCACATTATTTATTTATTTATACAGTATAATTATCTTTAAGACACTTACCTTTGTTCCGGCTCTGTCTTAGTCATCTTACCCTATGGGTATAGACCCTGGACAGTATCCCAAAATGTTATGACAAAATATAAGCGAGCACCCTGCACTCTGATGTAAGCCCTCACAGACTCTGGAACTCTTAACCTTTCTCTTTTACCCTGGCCTCCCAAGGCCCTTTATCCTTCTCTTTTCTACCCATCCATCTATACGGTAAACCTCTTAGCCTTACTTCACTTACAACCAATGTGGACATCACTGCACCTCTAAATTATTTTCCTACCAACATATTCACCTTCCTGCACTGCTATCATTTCATCATATTCACTCAGTTTACTTGTATTCTGACCTTGGATTATTTCCACAATTAGCCTGTTCTGTGGTGGGCCACTAGAAAAAATCTAACATCAATTCGGCTCTCAGGCCCCAGCAATAGTCCTTTTACTTAAGCATGGTCAACTCCCTTTCACCTTCTATGCTAACTATTTCAAAATTTTCACATACTCCTTAAGATTCTTATTCAAACTTTCTTCTCTTAAGGAGTTCCATCCCACTTTAAGAAATGGGGAGTATCAACCATGAATTTCTTTAAATTCTTGCCTCTCCCTAACTTAAGTATGTTCTTCCTATTCTTTCCTTCACTTCCCAGAGGTAGTGTCCTTAACTCCTACACTTAACTCTTGATTGCCTCACTACTGATGCCATCTCTCCTCCCACTCCAGATAATTCTTTGGGATACTGCTCCATCAATTAGCATCTCTCTTTTACCTCTAACCTAATCCTTTTGTTTTTGTTTCTCTTCCATGTGAAGAAGGAGAGAAGGAAGAAGGAAAAAACCTTGACTTGATCTGTATCTAGTTCTAGCTATTGCTCCTTTTCTCCTCTTTCAGTCAAAATTCTTGAAATTAAATATATATTATCAACAGCTAGCATATCCAGCACTTAATACATGCCAGGCTGTCTTCTAGATGTTTTACACATATTAACTAATTTTAATCCTCCTAACAACCTTATATGGTAGATACAAATTACACATATGAAGGAAATGTGACAAAGACAGATTAAGAATGTGTTCAAGTAAGCCACATAGCACATGACAAGGCTAGAATTTAAACTCAGGTAGACTAACCTTCCATTCACTGCAATCTGCCTCTGTTCTAATCACTCTGTCGACTCCAGCAAAGGTAATCAGTGGCTTCTCCGTTGCCAAACACAATAGACAACTGTAAGGCCTTACCTTTCAGGTACTGTGTGACCAGTCCCTCTAACCCATCCATCTGTCTCTACTCCCCAATTTGTTTCCTATGTTCTCCTGTCTTCTTTTGGCTGAATACTTCTTGCTCATCTTTACACCCCTCTTCTAGTGCTCTTAGAACTACCATGTTTAACCAGCATGCTACTTCTGTTCCTCTAGTTTAGAGCTTTCTATTTTAGATGGGTAACTAATAAAATAAAAATACACATTTAATATTCAGCTCATAATGTTTTGACAGTTGTAAACACTCACGTAACCTCCCTCCAAAGCAAGACACAGAACACTTCTACACCCCAAATAGTTTGCTACAGCCACTTTCCAATCAACCCTCATTTTGCTTATGTAATTTCTTCTGTCTGTAATGTTCTCTGCGTACACGGTAACTACTAACCAACTCTTTGGGTATCAACCCAGGTGTCATCCTCTTTTAAAAAAAATTACTGGACACACCTTCCCATACTCTTGGGCAATGGGTTTCCTAGCAAGTGCTGTAACTGTTACTTAATTGCTTTTCTACCTCCTGTTGAAATTAGTCATCTCCAGAATATATCTCACAGACCAGAATGTTTTTTCTTCTAATGTATAGATATGTCTGGTATTTTAATCCCAGTGTCTAGGAAGTCTCCGGCACATGACAACTGCTTAATAAATGTTTGCTAAACTGAAAAAGGTAAGGAACACACACTCAAAATATGAAATAGCATATTAAAATATTCTCTTTATATCAAGAACTTTCTTCTGAGTTCAAAATAGATGCTTCTTTTTTCAAGTAGTATATGTAATTTTAATAAATATAAAAAGGCTGCTTAAATAAATTATAGCACCAAGATTCTAGTTATAATTAAAAGCTGTAAAAAACATGATTAACAGAACAGAATTTCATAGGGAAGGAAAAGGAGGATAAGATTAACTAACTTGAATGTATTTATCAAAAGTAAATGATATTAAGAAAACTAAAAATAACATATAACTTAGGTTCAATAGGATAGTATCCAGGTAGTTACATACATTAAAATTTTTAATATTCAAAACAATCTTTTAAGATATGTATGTTTCAATCTTATTAGAAAGAGAAAACTAAGGTTCTCAAACATGAGCTCCTCAGTGTTTTAAAGTAAGCAGATGACAGAATCTGAATTCTTAGATTACCCCATAGTTCACATACAATTTGTTTTGTTTTTTAAAGTCTTACCTATGACTGCTTCCTGGACTTTCCCCCTATACGAAGAATAAACAAATATTACTAAATGAATTCTACTTAAGGCAAACCAATAAAATTTTCACTTAATGAAAAATATTTTCTACTTACCTAGTCCTGTCACGGTAAACACATTTTATTATTAAAAGTATTTAAAATAAAAAGTTTTAAAATTTTATAATTTTCAAAGGCATAACAAACTTCTGCAGGATATTTCAGTGACTTTCTAATAAATATTAGTTATCTATCAAATACACATCTGCAGTCGGGATGTGGTAGATAACAAAGCTTCCAGCCTCTACGTCCTGGTTGACCCTAATTATTCAGATTCCATATTCACAAATTCTCCTACTTGATATTTGTAACCTCCAAATTAACACTTCCTTAAGCTTTCTTGGTCATTTGAGGGCATGTGTGGAGCAGTGAAAACGTTGAGTTGCCCAACTGTTATCAGGGAACATAAACCAAATTTTAATATTTCACATCCTTGCCTTTAGCTTAAAGAATTCTAAACTCAGGCACAAATGAGCAGGCAACATAGTAAAGTTCAGGATTTATTTGGGGAAGTGAGAGAAATAAACAGGAACATGAGAGCTTTATTAAGGGAGAGGGGCCCAAGAAGGGCAAATGGGGTGTTCCATACCAGTCTTTTCCAGGGAGGGGGCCAGAGGCTGCAAGCGGGAGAGGGCATGCAGGCAGGAGAGTGGCTGCAGCAGGTGCCTTGGAGCAGCAGGCATGAGAAGTGGCAAAGTGGCCACATGCACAAGAGGTGCAAGGGAGAGCAGGGGTGGGTCCAGTGTGCTCCAGCCTCTTAGCCATTTCCAAAAGGAGAGTGGTTACATAGTGTAATTGACAGGACGGTGGATATAGGTGAGATCAAGCCAGGGTGAGGGGTTGTGGGGGAAGAGGTGGTCTCCAGCTCATGAATCTAATCCTATCTCCCTGACTGATTAATCCTACATCACAACAAGGTACATTCCAGTTGTGGCAGTACAAGACATTAATTACCCTGCTGCTATGAGCAAGTATCTTGCCTACAGATTATTTGCTGTTACACTGCTTGTACTTTTATGCCTTTTTTTTTCTTGGTGATTTCACACTTTGGTGCACTGTTTAAGTACCTAAGCACAAGATGGATGTGATATGCCTTATGGAACAAATATATATGTTAGATAAGCTTCCTTAAGGTATGAGTTAATGCTATTGGCACTGAGTTCAAAGTTCATAAATCAATAATACATGTTAAACAAGATGCCGTAAACAGAATATATAAAAAACAGGGTTATACAATGAGCAATTGATGAAGATGTTGTGACCAAAGGCTTGGAGGAACTGAATCTTAGGAGTAATGCTTCCAAATTCACTAATTCAACACTCACAGCAACTTTACAGAACACAGCTACAAATAACAGGAACAAGCTGGTTTTGTTTTCTTTTACTGTTATGAAATTAGCTAATTTTTTCCTCCCAAATGTTAACTCTTTTCAAGATGAAATCAGATTTATGCATATTTTCCATATTTAAACTGTTCATATCTGACACTTAAAACATAAGTATGAATAACAGCAGGAATAAAATTCTAAATGGTCCAAATTAATGTAGGAAACAGCACTATAAAAAAAAGGACAGTCTCAATTAAATCAAACTCAAATGTGACATGATAAAAAGAAACAAAAACAGACAAAACTACCAACCACACAAACAAATTCTATCTTAGGAACATACATGAAAACACCGGTCCTTTTTGAAAAGCAGTATCATGGTAGAATGAACTCTACTGAGGGCTAAAAGAATCCTTACTTACATTTAGCACTTGCCAGAAGCTTAAAATATATCATGGACAGTGTTTGCTCAAACTTTTCAAAAGAAAACACATGGAGATTAAAGTGATCTTTGAGAAGGTAAAGAATCTACACTCTGTGAAACTTTGTATGATAGGAAAGCAAAAGGCAAAGATAAAATGATTCCTCAAATATGTTCTACAAGATGACAAATATACATTATTATCTTAAAAAATTATGTGAAAGCTAATTTGGGAAATACTGAGTTGAACAAATTTAATTTTTTTAACAACAGCTCTTAGAAACTTTAACATGCTAATTTATATTCTGAGATTAGTATTTCTTTTTTAAAGATTTATTTTATTTATTTGAAAGTCAGAGTCACACAGAGAGAGAGAGACAGAGACAGAGTCATCTTCCATCTGCTGGTTCACTCCCCAAATCCACCATGTCTGGGACTGGGCCAGGCCAAAGCCAGGAGGCAGGAGCCTTCTTCCAAGTCTCCCATGTAGGTGCAGGGGTGCAAGGTCTTGGACCATCCTTCATTGCTTTCCCAGGTGCAACAGCAGGGAGCTGATTGGAAGTAGAACAGCCAGGACTCGAACCATAACCCAAATGGGATACCAGAACTACAGGTATCAGCTTAACCCAAGCCATAATGCTGGCCCCTGAGATTAGTATTTAAAAAGTCTAGGCAATGCTGGGCTAAAGAATAGTTTAAATTTTTAAAGGAAATATTGATTTGGGAACCAGCATTGTGGCACAGAGGGCAATGCCAGACTCCCCCATGCCGGTCACTGCTGCTCCACTTTCTTTCTGTTCCCTGGAAATGCATCTGGGAAAGCAGTGGATGATGGTTCAAGTCCTTGGACCCCTGCATCCTCCTGGGAGACCCATATGGAGTTCCAGGCCCTGGCTTCAGCCTGGCCCAGCTCTGGCTATTACGGCCATTTGGGGAATAAGCCACTGAATGGAAGATTTCTTTCTTTGTCTCTCCCTTTCTCCATCACTCTGTCAAATAAATAAGGTAAATCTTTTAGAAAAGAGAAATATCGACACATTTGCCCCTTTTCTTAGAAAATACAAATGACAAAAGGTCAGAGTTTACAGTGCTCTTCTAGTCTATGAATGCTTCCTGGTTGCTCCTGAGTTCAAAGATTAAGATTACCTAAAGAAATTTTACTACCTGAAATCTACTTGAGGCAAGCCAAAACAATTTTCACTTAATAAAAAAAATTTATTTATTTGCCTTGTCTTGTTACAGTAAACAAATTTCATTATTAAAAATATTTAAGGGGTCAGTGCTGTGGCGTAGCAGGTAAAGCTGCCGCCTGCAATGCTGGCATCCTATATGGGTACTGGTTTGAGTCCCGGCTGCTCCACTTCCGATTCAGCTCTCTGCTATGGCCTGGGAAAGCACTAGAAGATGGTCCAGTTGCCCAGTTGCTTGGGCCGCTGGATCCACATAGGAGATCCGGAAGAAGCTCCAGTGTCCTGGCTTTGGATTGGCCCAGCTCTGGCCATTGTGGCCATCTGGAGAGTGAACCAGCAGATGGAAAACCTCTCGCTCTGCTTCTGCCTCTCTGTAACTCTGCCTTTCAAATAAATAAATAAATCTTAAGAAAAAAAAATGTTTTTAAAACAAAGCTTTAAACTTTTAGAGATGTAGAAAGTAGGCCCCAGGGAGGTGAAGTAATTTGTATATACACATATAATTAATTTAGTAAGGCTGGAAATTATCACACACACAAAAGCTGTTCTAACTACACTAGTGTATAAGAAATATACATGTTTCACTAAATCTAAAAAGCATATAAAAGCATATTTTTCTCTATATTTTAACATTGCTGGATTAGGGGTACATCTTAAAATTGATGGAGTTTTGCTGCGATAAAGTGCAGAAAATTCACACAAAGAATAACTGATCAAAGAGATAATGGCTAAAGTCAGAAACTGTAAAATGAACATGTTCAAATTCTACTTTCAGAAATCCATGAACACTATGGTTCAGGAATGAGTGTTGGAATGAGTTCAGGAATGGATTGTTGATGTATTTTACCTAATTTTACCCTTAAGGCTTCCTGGTCTGGCTGAAAGGCCCATGGGAGCATTTCAGGCATGGAAAGCCAAGACATTATGGCAAAAAATGTTCTGCATGAGGGATATCTGTGAGACCCCAGTAGAAAGAAGGGACCATCAAAGAAGGATGCACTTTTCTCTGAAGGGAGAGAACATCCACCTTGCTTATGGCCTTGTCCACACAGACAGCGTTTGTGGACTCAACAGGCTTCTATAGCCTAGGTGGCTCATTTCAGGAACCTTGAGAGGTCACTGACATCATACATTAAAGTGTTAATTGTTAACAACAGGAGTCACTGTGCACTAACTCCCCATGGAGGACCTCTGTCCTTAATGAGTCGTATTGAGAGTTAATTGTAAAACCAGTTCTTAGGCTGGCGCCACAGCTCAATAGGCTAATCCTCCGCCTGCGGCACCGGCACACCGGGTTCTAGTCCCGGTCGGGGCGCCAGATTCTGTCCCGGTCGTTCCTCTTCCTGTCCAGCTCTATGCTGTGGCCCGGGAATACAGTGGAGGATGGCCCAAGTCCTTGGGCCCTGCACCCGCATGGGAGACCAGGAGAAGCACCTGGCTCTTGGTTTCAGATCAGCGCGGTGTGCCGGCTGCAGTGCACCAGCCACAGTGGCCATTAGGGGATGAACCAATGGAAAAGGAAGACCTTTCTCTCTGTCTCTCTCTCTCACTGTCCACTCTGTCAAAAAAAAAAAAAAAAAAACCAAACCAGTTCTCAAAGTTTCTTTTTTTGTGTGTATGTGTACGTGCAAACTGCTGAAATCTTTAGTATAGAGTTGGTCTTCCATGTACAAAGTTAATTGAAAATGAATCTTAATGGAGAATGGTACTGGCAAGGGGAGAGGGAGGAGGAGGGGTGGG